TTTTGCTGTAAAACAAATATTGCACTGGCAATGATACACTTCATTGGGAAATACTGCATTGTACATGCATTTTTGTATCTGTGCAAATATTTTTTTGGAGACCCAAACAAAGCTCTTTCAAGGCTGGTTTATTTTTGAAGCTTTGAAGAATAGGATGAACCTAAGGGGATCTTCTGATTATTGCCAATTTTCCTTTCTTGGCTTGTCCAAATAATGCCCAGCTTAGGCCACATTTCTCAGGAGCCATTTTGGTGATCTCTGGTCAAATGAAAACAGACTAGCATGGAAAAAATCCCAGCACTGCTGACTAATGAAAAGAACCTCCCTCTGTGATGGGTTACAACTTTTAAATATTCAAACTTTGCCCCACAATTTTGTCAGCTGTCACATCTTGTTTAGAGTTCCAAGACATTCTTACAGAGGAATAAATCATTATAATCAAAAACTTCCTGGCTACATCCAGAGTTTCTGCTTCTTTTTACAGTTCAATACTATACAGTGCATTGGAAATTTTTCATTAGAATTTTAATTCGTGAAATCATGTTACTGTGTGGAATACTGTATTATGCTTTTTAACAATTTTTCAAATGATCCATTAAACTTGAAGAAAACTGTTTTTAAGGAGGGAAATAAAGATTACAGAAAAATGTAATTGGTGATATTCTGTGCATTATATTAACTCGCTTTGGAAGCAAGTGTTCAATTGCCCAATTTTTCTTTCTTTTCTTTCAAAACATATCAATTTATGTTAATTTTTGCTTTTCTCTTTACTGTGTCAATAAAATGGTAGCCAAAAGACCTCCAAAAACTGAAGTTGCATAGGTTTTACATGAAAAACCTTTTGAGATAGGAAGTTTTTTAACCCTTGGACAGCAGAGGGTTCTTGGCTGTCCTGCACAAAATTCGGAATTTTTCTGGGAGGAGGGGGGGGAGAGGGCTTTTGCATTTCAGTTTGACTAAAGGTCACAACCAAAATGCACCCAGGATGGGAAAGACTAAGTTGGTAAAAATCCAGGCAGGGTTAATCATTTGGTTTTCAAAAATCTCCAATACTACTGCATTCCTATGTAAGGAATTCCTGGAAAACCCCCACTTAGGGATACTTTTTAGGCACATTTTTCAACAGGATTAAAAAATAATAGAATTTTTTTTCAATGTAGACCTTTGTATGAAAAACAAACTTTTTTTGAGGGGGCTAATAGGAACAACATTTTGCAAGAATATACCAAATTTGACACACAATGGCCAAGCAATGTGTGTTCTATGGAAATACAGACATGGACCAGAAAAAATTTCAACATTCAACCCTTCTGCAGCTAAGGGTTCTTTCCCATTTCAGGACTATGTTGGAATTTTCTTGGGTGGGTTCAGATTTCATTTTTTTTAAAGGCCATGAAAGCCAAGACAGGTGCCCTATGGCAAAGTCTAACTTTGTCCAGGAAAAAAGTGTTGATGAAATTTCCCCAAGCTGCACTATGTCTTCTAATATTTTTGTGTGTCTGAATGGGAATCCTTTTTCAGTCTCCCTGAATGAAAGGGTTGATAATCTTAGAAGAATGCAGCAAATCCAGATATAGAGGCTTAAGAAAAAACTCAGCCATGCTTGGTGATGCATTTGTATTTTGATTTTTGGGGACTTTTTTTCCTGTGGCTTTAAAAAAAATACAACATTTTTCTTGAAGTTTGCCCTGGGTGAACTGTTGCTCTTGTTTTAAAAACTCTGTTACAAGTTTCAGACAGACACAAAATTTTGCAGAACAAGTCTGACTTTGCCACCAAATGGATAGTGGGGTATTCCACTATTGGAGAGGTTCTAGTTATCCAGGTTCAATAACTGAACTGTATTGCTCAGAAGTGTCCGAACTTGTTATAATCATACAAAAGATTCATTTCCTTGTTTCCTTGGTCTTGATTGCAGGTCCAGTAGGACGTTTGTCATGCGTATCCTATGCAGGAAAGAGCCCAATCACCAAGCGGACCATCAGACATCCTCCCAATGAGGACTTTGCTTCACTGAATGCCGACATCTTGAACATGTCCTTGTATCCGAGAAATCAGCACTGCGCTCTGACTAGCGAATATCCTGCTCGAGGTGAAAACACACAAAGAAAATGGCTGAACCACGTTTACATGCTACATCACTATTGCACAGCGACAATGTATACTGCAATGAAGAAAAAACAAAGTCTCCTTACAAAAGTTTTTTTTTTTGCTGATGTAAATTCAAGTACAGTGAGACCCCCACATGAGGACATTTATTTTTTAACAAAAAAATCATAAAAAAGACCCAACATGAGGACACTGACTCAACCCTGGGGACATTGCAGGATAAAATTCAAAAATAAATTTTAGGAAAATTGATTTTTATAAGGCTTAATTGCAAGAAACATATGTTTTCAACCTAAGATCTATGCAAGAAAAAATCTTTGGTACTTTTCCCATCATTTTCCCATCCATTCAGCTAATTTAAAAAATGCTCTATAGCACAGAGGGACTTCCTTCTAGCTCTCTTTGTGACATGGATGTTATTTTTCCAGATGACAACTTTTCAATATACTGTACAGAGGTACGCTATTCAATGTTCCAAATGTTCTTAATGGTTTGAAAAGATATTCATTGAAACAAATCCAAGTGGCAAACATTTTTTTCCATGAAATTCTGAAGAATATTTCTTCCATAAAACACCAATTAAAAATTATACAATGTAAGTCTATGGGAAAACAAGATTCGACTTGGGGACAATCTGATATAGGGACACTCTTGATGCACCAATTATGTCCGCATCTGGGGGTCTCACTGTATTGTTTACAACAAATGCCGTTAAGCTAAACAATTTTTTTTTACAACAATTTAAAGTTATGAGCATTTTTTTCCAAGGAACATTGTTACATTGGATTATTTCAAACTGAAAATTGAATTTTACTGTGAGGCTTTTGTTCCTGGTTCCATGAATGGCCTCTTTTTTTTTTTTTTTCCAAGATTTGACTGTATGGCCCATAGATGAGTTGAATTGACTGAAGAAAAAGCAAATGGAAGTAAGAACCAGTACCTTCAAGACATTCCAAAAGAGGCATGTCACTGCATTACAAAACTGCAGTACTGCAATCCCTGGATAAGGATACATTTTATAGTCTAAAATTTTTGTGTGTAGAGAATTTCTCTTATATGGGTGATACTGGAAAATATTTTATTGGATCCTCACTCTAATAGATTGAACTTAAAAAAAATCTTTAAAAAATGAACAATTGAGCAAGTTAAAAGTGTTGGCGCAAAATCATATGCTTCAAATCAATCGATGAACAATACAGTAGAAGAAATTGGTAACACGATTTTCTGACATTCACAAATTTTGAATGCAAAAAAATATATACCCGACTATTCTCTTGAAAAATTTATGCATTGATTAAAAACATGTGAAATCTAAGATCAAAACTTCCAACAACAAAAATTAATTTTACAAAACATATTTTTGTCGTGGATTTTTTTATACCCGCGAATGAATATTTCAGTGCAGAATTTTTTTGACAGAGGCATTTTATCGAGCAAAGATTCTGTATAATATGCTAAATTCTTTATATATATATATAGCTTACTAATTTGAAACGTGTCTCGGAGAAATTTCGGTGCGTCTGCAATTTATTCCTGTGGTGTTCATGACGTCTGAAAACTTCTGATTGAATGGATGCGTCGATTAATTTTGTTGTTGCAAAATAAGTACTGACCTGATCATTGTTGTTTCAAAAGTTTTGCCAATGTTCTTCGTCATCACAGGATTTCCAAGATTGCCAAAATTCGTAAGGAGTAGTACCGTTATTATATCAACTTCCTGTAAAATTGTATTATCTATTTTTCGACATTAATATACAGTCAACCCCTGCTTGTACGACAGACCTACTGCACAATGGATTTTTGCACAACAGACTGTCTCTGGAAGCATTTTTCCCTCCCCCACAATATGGACTACATCTGCATTAGAGACTTCTGTCGGTTTAAAATTAATTGTGAAAAGTAAAAATGTTTAGTAATTGAATTTGCATAAAAAACTTTTTAAACAACATACTAGTCTGTTGTAAAAATTAAGTCTGTTGTGCAGGGGTTGACTTTAATCAATGGTTTCATTATGAGAAGAATTTGAGTGCACATCATATGCCAGTATGAAATGTTCAAAAAGTTTTAGAAGTTTGAGTGTGCATTATACTTGATTTGTTTTTGTAAATGTTTCATCAATTTGAATAGGACAGCCAATTTTAATGAAAGCAATTGAAAATTAGGCGATTTTAGGTTCAATTCATGTATATATTCTAATTTTAGTGCTCTTATTTGTGGAATATTGCAGGCTTTGAGTTACAAGAATGGAGTGCACATTTTACTTTGGAGCTATAATTTTATTAAAATTTCAGCCAGAAGAACCTGTGTGTGATTCTTAGTCAAGGGCACGTGGTACTCATTTGAATGCATGATGAATTAAATTTGATTGGATTCTTATGAGAGAAAATGGATCACAACTGTAATGCAGTATTCAGAACAGAAAATATGCAAGTATAAAATAGCAGCTATTTTAAAAATTACAGTGAGACACAAATATGTGGACACTCTCACATATGGACAATTTGACTTAGTGACATTTAAAAATTAAAACAAAATCAGGCCCAACATCTGGACATTGGCTCAAGTTAGGGACACTTTTCTGAATCCTGAATTCCCCCAAAATTGAAACATGTTATTTTTTAATTTTGACATCTTTTTAAGAAATCAAGCTATTGATATTCATAAAAATTGAAAAAATTATTCCATGTTCAAGTTAGGGACACTTTTCTGAATCCTGAATTCCCCCAAAATTGAAACATGTTATTTTTTAATTTTGACATCTTTTTAAGAAATCAAGCTATTGATATTCATAAAAATTGAAAAAATTATTCCATGATAAATTCACTCCAGTTCATAATCAAAACCAAGCAGATTTTGTGCTTCTTTTTTCAGAGTTTTTTTTTTATGATCTGTGCATATTCTAGCAAGACTTTTTTGTTTTCTTTCCTTTGTGATCTCCTTTTGATATACCAAAAGATAAGATTCCATGTGGTTTGTTCTTCACTGCTGTTTTTTACAAGTTGAAGATGAGGAAACAATTTGTTTATAAATCTTGGAGGAATTCTGTCTAATTTTTTACAAAAAGGAGAACCAATTAAATACATTCTAGCATTGAAGTCTAAGGGAAAAAGAGGCTCAACTTAGGGACACTACATCATCATGTCTGCATCTTGTGGTCTCACTGTTACTTCTGCCAAACATTTCAAAAGTACTGCACAGGCAAACACTTTTGCATCAGCATTGTCTTGCTTGCATGATGGTGTATAATGGCTTTGATTCACCTCTGTTCATAGTTTTGGCCTGTGGAACCCGCCTGCCTCCTCCACTGCCCAAGTATGTACCCAAAGCACCCACCACAGACGAGGACGGTGCTCAAGTGAGTAAAAAAAAAAAATCAACTTCCCCGGCATCACATACATTTATCACATTCAATCACAAGTTGACCAAAATTAATTTGAAAAAAACCCCCCTCAACCCTCATATATAGACCGAGCGAATCAGCAAATGGAGGCAGATTGAACGTGAAGTTTCCCTCGAAGAAGCAGCAGCAGCAGTAGCAAAAGCTCCTGTCGCAGAAGCTAAAACGGAAGCCGTACTTCCGGCACCAAAAGCAGAAGAAGAAAAACCTGTGGCTGTTGCGAATCCTGAACCCATTGCTGCTACAACTACTGCTGCTGATGATCATAATAATGTGAAACCCATCACCACCACTGACGCACAACCCGCAGCTGCTGCAGATTCGGAACCCCAAGAAAATAAACCCATAATCGAAGAAACCCCTGCTGCTGCTCGAAAGAAATCCCGATCAAAAGCAGCAGCAGCAGCAGCAGCAACAGCACCGGCACCGAAAGAACCCACGCCTCCTCCTCCTCCTCCTCCTCCGCCGAAGGAACCGACTCCTCCCCCTCCTCCACCGAAGGCACCGACTCCGCCTCCGCCGAAGGAGCAGACTCCTCCCCCTCCGCCGAAGGAACCGACTCCGCCCCCACCGAAGGAACCGACTCCTCCTCCTCCTCCGCCGAAGGAGCCAACTCCGCCTCCGCCCATCAGTGAACCTATTCCAACCCCGGTGGAACCAGAAGTAGTACCCCAACAAGTACCCGAGGCCGAGGCAACAACCCCTGCCGCTGATGAAGAAGTCGCTGCTGCGGAACCAGAGATTCCCGTCGATGCTCCATCATCCACTGCTGCTGCTGAAGAAGAAGAACCCGTCGTCGCCGCAGAACCAGAACCCATCATCATCGAAGAACCTCCGCCAGCAGCAGAAGCAGGCAAGTACCCACCCGAGTCATCAGACACTGCACAGCAGGTGGTTGCCAAATCAGCAGCAACAACGGAAGAAAATGGAGAAGAAGAAGTTGAAGAAGAAGAAGAAGAGGAAGAAGAAGAAGACGTGTGGGAAATGCCTGACGAAGAACAAGAGCAGCGTGTTATTGATCCCCCTGTCACCAAATCGCCGACAACGGAACACGAGGAATTAGTTTCCCAGTCTCATCAGAATAATCCCCAAGATCAAGGGGTTATTATTATTTCCGAGCCAGGGGGAGATGCGGGTTCTGTGGTCAAAGACGAACCCGTCAATGTTGTCGGCGATGATGACTCGATGGATGACGATGATGAGGGTGGCTACGAATCACCCGATATGGAAGGCTGGGAATAATGATAATAATAATAATTATTATTATTATATTATATAGCAGCAGAGTTCCTCACCTTGCTTTTGATACTTTCCTCTGCATAAAAACCCCCGAGCCTTTCACTTCATCCTAACCCGAATATTCAGTCAGCTTCCATCATCATGATGCAGCATCAATAAGCGATTTATGTCTTGAATTGTATCCAGGCATACTTTAATTCAACTTGCTATAAACCAAGAAGCAAATATTTATGTTCTTGTTCTGTCAAAAGTGGTTCATTTGCTGACAAAATTATGGCACCCAATTTTAAAACTTGATGAACAGATCTCTCCTGAAAAATTATCACCAAAGAAGAGAAACACTCCTCCAGATTTGCAATTAAATAAATAAAAATAATGTCCCATTCTGACTGATGTGCAGGAAATTCTAGTGCATACTGAGTGGATCAAAATGTGCATCTGCAAAGAGAAATCCTATCTTGTTGTGCAAAAATGATTCTTTTCTTTGGCATTATTGCTGCTGTATAAAGCATGCAAAATGCAGAAAAAGCAACTACTTTAAACCAAACTGTGTGTTACAAACTACAGGTGGTACCTTGCAATTCAACGCTAATCTGTTGCCAAACTAGGGTGAAATTGCAAAGAAAGCACTTTGTGAAATTCAAAAATATCAGTATAAAAATGCAAAATAAGTGACCAAAGCAGGTTGATTTGCAGGGCAAGGGTTGAATTGCAAGTCAACCTCCGTGCAAATTTACACTGTTGAACTGCTGGATGGTCAAAGAGCGAAGTACCACCTGTTATGTATAAAACTTACTGACAAATGATTATTCTGCATGAAGTCTGCCTTTTTATTGGCATGGCATTGTTGCTTCCATATTAATTGATTAAATTAATCTTTAAGAAATTAGTGATTGATTTTTAAGCCATTTGCACTGGGTTTCATGAATACAATAGATTTACGCCAGTATCACACACCCTTGAGTAAAATGTCACACTTCATGTTTGAGCTTCAAAATTATGTAAAAAAAACTCTACAGTGACTCAATCAAGTTTAGAATATGTACCCCAGATTTCAGTAAAAAAAATTAAAATTTCAGAGTTGAAACTGCTAAATTCATGAATCTATTCCAATTGGAAGGAGAATGAAAATACATTGAATTAGGTCCTTCTCTAAAATTAATCTGCAATGTATGCCAAGGCTAGTAAATGCAACAATTTGCTTTCCTTTGCACATCATGCTTGAATGAAAATATATTTTGCAGTTTTACAAACAACTTTTGGTCCCAAGTTTTGGAGAAAAAATTTGTTGGGTACTCTATCAATCACATTACTGTATACTATTTTGCATTCAAAATTTGGTTTACCTTTTGGTCCACTCTGTATGCAATATTGTACCAGGCACAGTGAGGTGAAATTTTTACAAAAGGAGGGCAATGTTACCTTTGTTTATAGACTCTTTGAGGGTTCAAAAGACTTTTTCCATTTGTATAAACCTCCTCTATCCCTGCCCCCACCCAAAAAAAAGAACCAATGCCTGCATTCAAACCCAGAACAGATACAAAGTACTTAGCACCAGCTGTAGTCTCAAGAAGCTGCTGCAAAAATGACCTTGAGAAGCTCTTGCAAGAAGATGAGGTTGCAGTCTGTAGAACAGGCAGAGAATTGCTGTGGCAATCACTGTAGAGTAGCAGTCATATGAACACACTGGCTTGATGACAGGACACTTTGCATCATTTCTGAGTGGTACAGTGGAATTTATTTTCTTCCTTGTCTGTGGTAAGCCAGCTGTTGGGGCATTAACACCAGCACATCAGCATACAAAATTACATGACATATTCCTTTGCTCTTTTATATTGCATGGTGGACAAGCATGGATCCACTTTGACTTACTGTGTGTTGGAAAAAAAAACCGTAGAGTGGCACCATAATGGCATTTTCTTAATCTGTTTAGCCTGTGTTCTCAACAAAGAAAAAAATTCTTGTGTGCCTGTGAATCAATCACAAGTTGGGTTCCCAGGCTCATCAAAAAAATTCTTCAGAGAAAACTTTTTCCTTGAAATTGTAATTCATAATTTAATCCTTCAAAGCCTTCTTGATTTCCTTCTATTGCCCATTTTTGAAATTGGTGGTTGTGATTTGAAGCTGAGCAGATCTCCAGGAAAAATCAGATCAGATCATTTTCTCTGTGCTTCAATTCAAAGTGCATTCCTGAGCCTTACTTATATGCAAAAACTAAAACCCTTTGAAAGTCCTGATATTCAACTGTATCTGTCATGCAACAAAATATACCAACTTTTTTGATACCAGGAATTCTCAAGTCCTGGCCAAAGCCTGGCTGATAATTGCAATATTCTCTAATCCAAGCTTCTTCTGGTAATTATTTAGCTCTTTTAAAAATCAGCTTTGTGAGCAAATTTGTCCTCACACTGTGTATCAGTTGAAAAAGCATAAGATGAATGCCTTCTCTTCTTGATTCTTCTATATCTGCAATACAGATGAGAACTCTTTATATTTACAGGATATCCACTTGAGTGAAGGGGAAGGACTGTTTAGAAATTGTTGTATCTGTTTTTATGGCATATATGTACAAATAAGGAAGTTATTTTTCTTAAAGTTGCATTTAGTTGATCCTTAGCCAATTTTTTGTCAAGGCTTCTTGTGGTCCGGGAGAATTATATGCTAATTGAATTATACAGGGTGGACCAGAGAAAAAAGTGAAGAAATTTTGACTTGAAATAGCTTGGTGAAATATCAAGCTATGGCACTGCAAAACACAAAAAATGAAAGCTTGTTCAATTTCCTTTCAAATGGTATGTAGTGTTATGGTCTCAGGTACCATGGCATGGTAAAAAGAACCATTTTAAAACTTCACTGCTGTTCTCCAGAGCCATTTTTAGGGATCAGTTTGGCACAGGACCAGTAAACCAACTGGCAAACTTCATGCTGCCTTCTAGATAAGAGAACACATTTCAAAAAATTGTAAGTTAAAAAAAATCAGCATTGGGATGCTGCTTCACTTCCAAATCTGGATGCAAGCTTATTGTTGTGTGCCAGCCTCATGGCTCCAGTGACCCCATGCATGAAGAAGTTGTTTGATGCATGACTGGATTGCCAAAAATCAGTTTCACCCATTGATAATCACAATGATCAACCACTACTTTTGCCATCATTGGTCAATTTTCAATATGTCACCATTTCCTGATCATCACAAACATGAAAAAAATGCCAAGTCATCAAAATAAGAATGAAAATTCACTGCTATAGATGAAAATCAACCATGTTGAACACCCATCCATTTGATCATTTTACTTTTTAATGAGTAAAACTTATTTTTAGCAATCCAGTGATATGAAAGAAATTTGCATGCAGTGGGATCACTGGTGCCATGATGAACCATTTTAAAACTTCACTGCTGTTCTCCAGAGCCATTTTTAGGGATCAGTTTGGCACAGGACCAGTAAACCAACTGGCAAACTTCATGCTGCCTTCTAGATAAGAGAACACATTTCAAAAAATTTTAAGTTAAAAAAAATCAGCATTGGGATGCTGCTTCACTTCCAAATCTGGATGCAAGCTTGTTGTTGTGTGCCAGCCTCATGGCTCCATAGTGACCCCCTGCATGAAGAAGTTGTTTGATGCATGACTGGATTGCCAAAAATCAGTTTCACCCATTGATAATCACAATGACCAACCACTACTTTTGCCATCATTGGTCAATTTTCAATAAGTCACCATTTCCTGATCATCACAAACATTGTAAAAAAAAATGCCAACTCATCAGAATAAGAATGGAAATTCACTGCTAGTCTACTTTTAGTTGGTACAACTTGTGGGTAGGTAAACTAGTAAAATGAAAAATTACTCATTTTGAATAAAAATCGTTAGGTCACTATACTTTCTTTAAACGTACGTCACCCTAGTGACCACGGTACTGGCTTGCACACAGCAAGCTTGCATTAAGATTTGGAATTTGAGGAACATGCCACAGCTATTTATTTTTACTTCTCACCCCATGCAACCTCCTACAATTTGAGAATTTGTACACCCTCTTGTAAGCAGCATAAAGTTTGCCAGTTGAATTACTGGTCCTGCACCCAATTCATCCCTGAAAACAGCTTTGGAGAACAGCACCTTAGTGGAAGGAGTTGGCTGAGCCCTTTTTTGTTGAAATCTTCCATTCAAATGGCTTTTGTAACCATGCTGGTGCAGCTGAGACCATACAACTACATACCATTTGTAAGGGAATTGAACAAGCATCCATTCAATGCTTTTTTTATTGCTGAAGCTTGATTTGCTACCAAGCTATTTTGAATAAAAAATCAGTTAACTTTTTCTCTGGTCCACCATGTATATTGACTAAAGTCATCTTCAATCGTGTCACCTTATTAGTTTTTCCACTTTTCCACATGGTCTTTTGAAAGTAATTGGATTTGTTACGAAGTTACTCTTATAACGTGGATTGAATGTTTTTACGTCTTAATTAAGCAAGTTCAGAGGTTCATTTCCCAGTTTTCAAAGCTATCTCAAGCTATTTGAATGCAGTCAACCCCCACACATTGGGCCTCCCTTACAACAGATTTTTGCAAAGCAGACTGCCTCTTGAGTCAGTTTTCCCTCCAGCACAACAGACTTAATTTGCATAACAGACTTCTCTTGGCTTAAAATTTATGGCAAAAAGTGAAAAAATAAAATTTTAATAATTTAATTCACACAACAGACTAGTCTATTGCATGAATTATGTCCATTGTTCAGGTGATGACTGTATGTTCTTGCTGTAGCACAGTAATCTACTTTTCTCACTGGTAGAATTGTTGTTGATGCTGCAGCAACCTGTAATTATTCATTTGGAATTGTCAAATATAGAAGGCAAGATGGAGAATTTTGAAAAATTTAAGAAAACTTGTTGATTGGAAAGGGGTATACAAAATAGATCAATCAGTAAATAAACTTGCTTGCAATGAAAATATGTATAACATTTTTATCAGCATAATGCATGTGCTTGGTGTTCCTGTGAGATCCTTTGAGTATTTTTGTTGAAAGAATGATTTTTTTCTTGCTGGAATTTGCTGAAAGGAAAGTTTGTGCAATGCAATTTGATTTTTACCAATTGTTGCAGCAATTTAATTCTTCAGAAATATAATTATCCTCTCAGTTGCTTTCAGCTGAATATGTGCAAGCAAACAGGTGCATGATGCTAGCTGCTATGTGTTGCAATCAAATGTGTCAGGATCTTGAGTTAATATTCCCAAATGATTATGTCATAGCATGATTTAGTATTACTAGGATTTTACACATGTTGAATCAGAAGCTTGATTCTGAAAATTTCAAAGTGTTGAAAACCTGTGCATTGATATAGCCATGAACAATTCAATGCAAATGACATACTATATTTATAATCTTCCTTTAGTTGCTCTGCTGGACACAGAGCTTCCTGAGAATGAAGTTCACCCAGATGTCCAAGAAGAAATTAAGGAAACAATCCCTGCTGAGTCAACTGCTGGTGCTGAAACTGAAGCTTGAGTCCCCTCCAAGAATGGCATATTTTGGCTCCAAAACTTGTGAGTATTGCTAACCAGAATACTCAAGCTTCTGGTCAAATATATTTTGAGGATTAGTACCTAATTCTGTGAAAAACAAAAGGGACTATGAACCAATTTGGCAAAATGGCCTTTATTATGGCACATTTTTTCATGAGTAACTGCTGGAACACTTGAAGTACCCAGTGAGGGGTTTCTGGTCAATAGTTTCTAAAATCACTTGAAAATGAATTATACATTTCTGGGTACATTCCCTTTGCTGAAAGAGTTTCAGAGATAATGTTGCATCCTTGCTGATGGAAACCAAGCAGCTTTAAATGAACTTATTTCAGGAGCTATAAAATGTCTGGAATGCAGTTTTCAAATGATAGTCCAAAGTTTTTCAGAAATTGCTTTCAGTGGAAGTTTGAGGAATAAATTGGATTAATTTGCAGGAATATAAAATACCCATTCCTAATATAGAGATTTTATCTAGAACTAAGTATTTATTTTATTTAAGAAAATGTTGGACTCAAATGATGTTGACTTATTTAAATTCAACTGTAATTGATTAGCTGTGCTTTTGAAACAGTGATGTTTGGAACAGTGAGGTAAAGTATTTACTTGATTAACACAAGCACATTTTTATTGGGTATAACCGTGAAAGAATTGAAGCTTTGGTGCATGTTACTTTTGATTCCAACCAAAAATCTGAATCAATGTCAACAGACAATTTAAAAATGGAAATCATGGAAAATTTGTATCAATAAGTCTGAGCACAATCAAATTTAAAATTCACATTTTGATGTACAGTCAAATCCCGCAAAACATAGTTCATTTTTGCAACATAATAGTCTGTTGTGTGAAAAGTGTGTCATGGAAATTCAATTAGTAGCACATTAAAATTTTTACTTTTTTATCAATAATTTTAAACAAGCAGAATTCTGTCATGCAGATTTAGTCCATTGTGTTGGAGGGAAAACAGCATCCAGAGGTGTCCTGTTGTGCAAAAATCTGCATTTTGTGCAGGAGATCCATTGAGTGGGGATTGACTGAATTTAAATTTCCAATTGCTGTTTTTTCAATTTGCAATCTTACATATTAGGTGCACATCATATTAAGGGTTACATTTTGCCCAAATGCTAGGTTGAACAATTCATTTTCATGCATTACTTGTTGATGCATGGTACTTGAGTAAATGAGGTATTCAAAGTTTATATAAATTTATGATAAATAAATAAATAGAAATATGAATATAAATTATATGTGCTTTACATAAATATAATATATAATATAATAATATATGTTTAATATAAATTGTTTGCTATTTATGTACATTTTTATATATTTATCAATTGTTTATGTTGACCCTTGATGGACAGTGGCAGGCCTTTTTCCATTGTGTGGCAGTGTTGGGAAATTTTCTCTTGCTTCTGAATTTCAGTTTGACAAAAACTGCAGATGTGGTTGAGTAGCCAAAGTTGGGAAAGATCTGCAAAAAAGAAAAAAAATTGTTTTCATAATCCCTCTATGGTAATCCTATGGCAGGAAAGCAGAAAAAAGCCACCCAAAAGTAACTCATTTTTATTTTTACCAAGACTTTTCTGCAGGAATGCTAAATAAAATATATGATTTTTCGTGACTTGGCTCTTCTGCCGATGCAAGGTACCCTTTTATTTTATTTTGTGTGTGGCACAGAATTTTGCAAATAAATCCAGGCAGTGCTGCTGCTCGAAGGGTTAAAATATTTTGGGATGGTACTTGGATTCCTACTTTCACGTGAAGGAAAATTATTAATGAAGGGCTTTTCTTTTTGATTTCAGGTACCCAAAACAAAAGATTTATCCATTGGAGGGACCCTCACGAGGATCATGGATAGCTGCGAATTACTGATCCATCCGGAGTATATTAGCAAGCCGATGGAGATAAATGATACCCACTGGTTTACCTGATTCACCAAGCTGTGTACTTGAACCCCTCACCAATCGTTCATATAGAAACTTAAAGAAACTTTTGTACGCGCTACATTTCCTGCATATATGTTTGGAATGTCTTCAACAGCTTTCGTTTTGTATTCGATGTCCAATAACGATTTTTAAGTGTCTATTTTACCCTTGCGAGTGTACAGTGGACAGGCTCGATGACCCTAATGCAATAAATTTTGATGTTTTTTTCCCAGGATCAAAAGTTTTTTCTTATTTATCCAATCAGCAATCTTGTGTGATTTTTCCTCTTTCTCTTTCAGATGCTGGTCTACATCACACATGAAATTGCAGTGAGACGCCAAGATGCAAACATAATTGGTGCATCTGGAGTGTCCATAAATCAAAACGTCCCTGAGTTGAGTCTCATTTTCCCTTAGAGCTTAGACTTACATTATAAAATTTTGAATTGGTGTTTTATGGACAAAACATGCATCATATTTCAATAGAAATTAAAGTAAATGGTCTCCCATTTAAAACTGATTCAATCAATTCAATATCTTTAAACACAATATATGGACATTTGGAGCCTTGAGTACTGATACCTCTGTAAAGTACGTTGAAATGTTGGTATTCTTTGTAAAAAAAAATTCAAGTAAAAAATGGCAAAGTCCCTCTATGCTGGAGGTAATTTGTTAAAATTAGCTAAATGGATGGTAAATTGATGAGAGAAATGGTAAAGAACTTTTCTCACATAGATTTCAGGGTTGGAAATGTCTGTTTCTTGTAATTTACCCTGAAATATATTTGCAATTTCAGCACATGGTGTCAATACATTGAGTAAGAGTCCACACATCAAGCATTATTTTCATAAATGTTTGCATTGGAAAATAAGTGACCCTACGTTGAATTGTCTGCATGTCAAGGTATCCACATGTGGGGGTCTCACTGTAATTTGTTGGTAAAGTGTGAGTCAACATGATAAGTTACCTTCTTGATAATTTGTGTTAATTTCTGTATAATGGCAAAATTATAGTTTTGCACACATTCTCCCTCCCTTGAAACTGGAATCTGTAGAAAACAGGGAAGTTTTTGTACTTTTTGAGGTTCAATGGATGATAATTGCATGTCAGAAGTACATCAATTGTTTTCATACTCAGGCTTCTTGAAAACATTTTTTATGAAACTGCCAACAGAATAAGCCAGGATATTATTTGGATCGAAAACCCTGTGAGTGGGTGAGTGAAAGGATGAAACCTCTGCCTGATCCAAGCAGAACCTGATTGTTGTACCTGTTATAGGGACTTGTGTATTGAGCTATCCATCTATTTCCTGTAGAAATTTTCAAGTGTGTGAAGAAGGTGTGCTACATTAGGCTTCAACAGTTGCAAAACAAACACATTTTCCTTCCCCTTTCAATGAGCTAGACAATATGCCCTATTCCACTTCATGTCTTGTTGAGGAATTCATCAACCCAGCATAAAGAATTGAATCACAGCACAGTGGAAGAAATGGTAAGAAATATTAAGGCAGGGGAATCAGTCAGTTTTTGGCCAGGAATATGTATTTATGGGGGACATTAATTACTCATTTCTAGTTTCAACTGGTTTAATCACAGTCCACAATAAATCAGAACAGAACACAGTAGAAAAGTAATGCATCAAAATATATACAGTACAATAATGCAACACACGTTCAATGAATACAAAAAAATCAAGCGCGCAAATTTAGGGTGCAATAATGCAAGGCACTAATTCAATGAAAAGACTTGGGGTTGAATTGTTTGAGGGAAGTTTACAATAAGAGCTAAATTAAAGGTCTGATTATTGGGAAGTAAAAACAGTGGGTTTTTATGCAATGTTGCCATATGCCTTGGTCAGCTTACCTGACCAGCAAGGCACTCAAATTTCTCCCCCACCTGTGATTGTTGGGAGAAATGTGCATCAAAGAAGTGTCCTTTGTGCATCTATAGTACCCTGGGTGCACAAAGGAAAATGGGACCAGAATTCTAGTCCAGGATCTGAGGTCCCTGGGTCCCAGTTCAGGTTCCCAAACATGTCTTGCCAGCAATCACATGACAAAAAAATAATAAAACAGTTGCTGCTCACCTAAATTTCTTCCCTCTCCATTTATTCAAACATTTAAGAGAAGATTCTACCCAATCAGTTTGCTCCTGCCTGTCATTGATGTTGGTTCTATAATCAATGTGCTTGTCTGTGAAAATTGCTTGGAAATGAAAATTGGAAAGGAACCCTTGGATTGCCAAGGGTTCCTTTCCATTGCTCAGCAGAGCCAGGATTTGTTTTGGAGAGCAGTGCATTTCAGTTATTGACAAAAGGTCCCTGAAATGCTCCCAGGTTGAGGAAAATCTGAAAGGAAAATTTTCTATTCTAAAAAAAACTCCAATACAAATCCTATGCTAGTAATGCAGGAAAGAAAAAAACACCCAGTAAAGGATATTTTTATATTTCTCAAGAAAAATTTTCTTTTGGATTATAAATACAATTGAAATTTCCCCCAAATTAGGCCTCTGGTAGAAACATAGGATTTAAAAAAAATCTCCAGTGCTCATGGGCACAACATATTTGAAAAAAAGAATATTCTGACTCTGCCACACAAGGGTTAATGCAAGGATGTCCCTGGTCTTTACCTGGGTGCTCAGGTTGCTTCTTACATACAGAGAGCACCTCTGTTGATACCCCCTCTGAATACCCCAGCCTTGTCCTCCCTTATTGATGCCCTCAGCAGCACACAGACTCATCTGCTGTGTTGACCCCCTTTTGCTGTAGCCCTCAGCCAAGGCGCATGTCCATATACTGTACTGTACTACTCCGCATCAGAAAGGGAGCAGACTCAGCACGTGTGAACGCCATAGGATGACGCCATTCACGTCTGATCCAGGACCCATTGCAGAACTAAAAGCCTCTGCTGCTGGCTTTTCTTGCTGCAGTAGCTTGTGTGTGTGCTGGGTTTCCCTTCCAGCTTGACTTTAACTGCAGCTGTTGGGGTTACAATAAGGCTTGGGGTCTTTTTGTGGCATTTTCCTGGGTGAGAGAATACAATAGTGTACAGTACCTTGTATAGTATATAGCTCTTTCCTGATTCTGAGTGGGACAGCTTTACACTGCAGCAGGAAACATCTGTTGCATCATGGGATTCAGTGAGTATATGCGCCTCTGTTTGTGACCATATGCTGAAATTAGAGCCTGTATTAATACAGTTGCGTGAATTTCATACATAATCTTATCTTTTGAAAATTTTGAAAGGAATCTAAAGAAATAAAAAGAAAATTTGAAATGAAAATCTTAAAAGCTGTCATTCTGTTGAGAAGACCGTAAATGAAGTTAAAAAGTAAACGAAATGAAATAAAACATACACGGCATGCTAACAAACATTGTAGTGCTTGTTGAAAACAAAGTAAACTCAATTGAAAAAGAAAGATACCTTTGTTTTCTGGGGCTCGACCTTTTGTTGCACATAAAAAAAGAATTTGAATTTCCATTGCTTGATTAGATAAAAACAATTTCACTTTGGAAGTGTACAGTGCCTCATTCTATACAGTTTTGTCTTTGCTGTTTTGTCTGTCACTTTAAACTGTATTATTCCTGCCAGTTGGTTCCACAATGTTGAGTAATTGCAAACATATTGTAAATAATGTGCCCTGTGTTATCCTAGAAAAAGAAAAAATTCCTTTTCCTTTCCCTTTAAATTCATTTTCACTCTTCTCATGGGTTAAATGAAATGGCTTTAATTCTTGTCAAGGCCAATGGCCTTCAATTGTTAAATCACCCTGTGTGCTCTCTTGCTGTGTTGCAATTAATCCTGCAACCTGTTACTAGGAAGTAGGAAGATACAATGTAGGTCATCCACATTTCCAATAATTGTGAAAACATTCAGTTTTGACCAATTACAAGACTACAGTCAACCTCCTGCACATCAGATGATCAGACTCAATTTGTGCAATAAACAGGCTAGTCTGTGATGTTAAAAGTCTGTCATGTGAATTAAATTGCTAAAAAATTAACAATTTGACTTTTTACTAATTATCTTAAAGCAAAAGAAGTCCATTAGGTGGATTTTGTCCATTAGGCTGGAGGAAAAACTTCCTCCAGAGGTGGTCTGTTAGGCAAAAGTCCCTTAGGCAGGTGGTCTGTAATGGGAGGGGTGGACTGTACTCAGGTAACCCAATCTCTTCAAGATCCACAATACTGTACTGTACTTTCTCTTTTGCAGAAAATGAATCTTGCTTCCTGCCTGTTTTATCCCTCTCCCAAACTTCAAAAGAATAACCTTCTTACATTTGAAGATTTGTGAAATATTGTGTCATATTTTCCAGGAGTCATCCCAATGCGCTATGTCCTGGCGCTTCTCAATGCCATGGGTATGGCCATCATCTATGGACTCAAGGTCAACTTGAGTGTAGCAATTGTGGCCATGCTGAACCACACTGCCATTGCAAATGCAGATGGTGATGGACATCATGGACATGGTGGTGGAGTGTCTCCCTGTGCTGCTGATGGTAATGGGACGAAAGCTGATGGTTTTGCTGTGAGTGACTCTTTCCAAATTTGAAGACTGTGGGATTTCCAAGTGCAAACAAAGTCAAATTGATTTTCCTCACTTCAAAACTGTCCATACCGTATTTTGCCTTTGTGGGTACTGTATATCCTCAAATTTTGATGTGAGCTTACTTTACTCATGAGATTCAAGACCATTCAAAATTGTTATTCAAAGATGAGAAAACTTGATCCATGTAAACTTTTGTTTTGAGAAACAAGTCAACATGACCCATTGTTGTTGAAGAAGGGTTTAAAGTTCAAGTAGGAAAGAAAATAGGGTTCACAAATAGTTACTGAAATAGAGTCAATGACCTGGAACCCAAGAAGTAATTCATAATCCCAGCATAAAATATCTCAAAACGCAAAAAGAAAGAAAAGTGAATGTACATGTGTGTTAAGTGGAATGAAATAATGAAATAAAATCAATAAAACATTTTCAGTACTGCATTATTTGTAAGGCTAGTGAACAAATTCATAGCAATTTTTGTAGATTTCATCAGCAGCCTTTTCTTTGGGTCATATTTTCAAGGTGCATTAGATTGAAACTGTGCTACCATGGAATTGGTCATGACAGAATTTTACACATACAAATATTAAATGCATACTGTCCTTGCATAAATTGAGTGAATAGAATATTAAATGATTTTGAAGAAACTCAACCTACTGCTTTAACAATCTCAAAGACTCTACTACCAATTAATATGACGTAAATCCTTAGGCATGAATAACCTAGTTTGCCACAAAATTCGCAGCTCATATACCCAATCCTATCCTATTGCACAATAATCTGAAATTATTAGCTTATGGATGTGGGTATAGAATCACTTGAATGGAAGACTGATTCCAAATTTACATTACAGTTCAGACTGTCACCAAGAAAACCCAGCAGAATATTCATAAACTCCCCTTATGTTGATTTATCTGTCATCTCTTTTTCTTAATTTGTTTTTGACTAAAGGATGGACCATTTGTCTGGGGTGGAAAAGTACAGGGCTTGGTGTTGGGCTCCTACTTTTGGGGCTACATCCTGACCCAGATTCCTGGTGGCAGATTGTCAGAAATGCTGTCTGCCAAACACCTGTTTGGCATTGGAGTGCTCATGAATGCTGTTGCCACAATTCTGTCTCCAATTGCAGCCAAAATGAGTTATGTCTTGTTCATTGCAATGCGAGTTGTGGAGGGCATTGGAGGTGGTGTGACCTTCCCTGCCACCCATGTTCTCCTGGCCCATTGGGCCCCACCAGCTGAGCGCTCATGCATCTCCTCTGCTGTCTATGCAGGTATGGCAGCCCTGTACCATGTGTGCTTTTGTTGATGAGGTGGTTTACTTGATCTAGATATTGCTTAAAATGCCTTGATTGTTTGGAATTTACTAGTTTTGTTTCTATGATTGACTGATGAGAACATATTCCCATATGCTCTTGCAGAGAAACAATGCTGCCTGCAAAGTATGTGGCATTATTGTATATGGTAGTCATCATAAAAATGATTCATTTCAGCTGGTAATTTCTGTGTGATTATGTTTAGGTCATTTTTATGTGAAACCAAAGCTGGTACAGGTTCTCTTATGCAGTGTTCCCCAACCTTTTTGGACACACAGACTGGCAAATTTTCATAAAATGTTCTGTGGACTGGGATATTTCTGTAGCATTTTCTGCATACCAGTAAAATACCGTAAAATGTTTGCATGCATGCAGAAACTTTTTGAAATACCTGCCGTAAAGTCCTCCACACAAAACTTTTATGCAAACACTTTTTTTTGCATTGTTTATTGAAATTTCTTTGGAAATGGGAATGTGTGAACTCATTTGGACATACAGGACTTTGTTATAGTTTTTCTGAAATTGAAGGGCAAAGACAGAATGATGCAAAAAAGAAGTTCTTGTAGTCACCATTTGCAAATTTTTCACATTTTATGAATATTCACTTGTAACAGATTTTGTGTGTGTATCATTCTTCGTTTTTTCTCACATTGATCTTGATATTTTATATTATATTTTTATAATTTTCTCCTCACTCCAAAAAGGCACTGCTTTGGGAATTGTATTTTCCCTTCCATTCTCTGGCATTCTGGCTGCCTCTCTGGGCTGGGAATCCGTTTTCTATGTCCAGGGTGGACTCAGTCTGGTTTGGTATGTGCTCTGGATGTTATTTGCCTATGATGACCCCTCCATACACCCATTCATCTCAGAGGAGGAACGCTCTTACATCCTCACTTCCTTGGGTAATAGTGACAGTTCCAGGACTGAGAGGCAGGGAAAGGTAAGTTACCTCCATTGTCATCAACCTTCTGACTAGATTTCATTGAGGTTCTGGTTGTAACAAGTAATATTTTTCCACCAAATTGCTTCTTGGCTAGATTGCAACAAGATAAATCCTTTATCAGAGAAACTTTAATGCTCCTTCTCAAAGCAATTGTTTCTGACTGGATTAGTTTTTGGTGCAGCATTCCAATTCTTTCTGAGAATATAAACTTTCTGCACAGATAATGTACTATTGTATTTGGAAAAACTGCACTTGACATATTTCTTGAGAATTTTTAAAGCTACAGTTCAGAATGTACATGCATCCTGTCAAATGAAAATTATGTTGAATCTTTTTACTCAATTGAAAAAAATTAACAGGTAAAAATGAATAAGTTTCAGAAGAATGTGTATACAGTGGCCCCCCGCCTAACAGACCTCCCATGTATAAGGGATTTTCGCCAAACAGACCAGCTCTGCAAGCAGTTTTTCCTCCCGCCCAACAGACAAAATCTGCCAAACAGACTTCTTTTGGTTTAAAATTAGTGTTGAAAATTGAAATTTTTAATTTTTTATGTAATTTTATGTAATTGTAAAGGACTTTTTGTCTAACAGACTCGTCCCTTGCACAAATCAAGTCTGTTAGACAGGGGTTGACAATATAGTGTTTCTCCTGCATGCACACTTTCTTCAAGTTGAATTTCAAGGGGCAAGCAAAAAAATGCATCTTTAGGGAGGTTTTTACTCAGGAAGGTTTGGAGTTGGAGAAGTTTTTAGTTGAAGAAACAAGTGTTCTTGTTGTTGGAAATATTGAAGAATTGGCAGAGATCATAATTGGTAATAATCTGGGCCTAAAATGTATACTTGAAAGAGTTGAAAAGATGCTGAACTTGTATGCAAAGGCTCATTTGCCCCATTAGTCTTTAACTTCCTTTCAAAACACATCAAGTTTGATTTTTATTGCTATTATCCTTACTGTGACAAGAAAGTACTGTAGCATAAAGCCTCAGAAAGTTTTACGCAGGGAGGTTTGAGAGGAAAAGCCTTTGAGTTAGAGAGGTTACTGATAAAATGCTTCTAAGGGTATCCCTACAAGGCTTTGAAAATAAATTGACTTCAGAAGTTTTTTTTTTACTCAGGGAGGTATTTGACTTAGTGAGGTATTAAACTGAGAGTGGTGTTAGACTTAGGGAGGTGTTAGACATAGGGAGATATTCAACTCTGGGAGGTTTGACTTAACAAGGTTCAACTGTAATGCATATGTATCATTTCATGCTTTAATGAAGCTTTAGTGAAGGTGGCTTAGTGAAAGGAGAGTACTATGCATTCTTAACACATGCTCTTCATTTCTTTGGAGATATACTCATAAGGTATGACAGGTCTGGTATTGCCAGGTTTAGAAGCACTTTGTTTATAGTACTGTATTTATCGCCCCATTTCCCACAAAAGTTGTCTGACATGTGTTCAAACCATTTGAATATTGATAAAAATATTTCATCATAAGAAATATTCTATGAGGTGTCTGGGAGTTCATTGTAACAATAGGTTTTACCATGCTTTGAATCAGCCATAAAAATAATTGCACATTATTGTCTTAGCCAAAGAGACAACCAGTTCCTTGGAAGGCAGTGTTCACCTCTATGCCATTCTGGGCTATTCTCATTGCCCATACATGTGGCAATTGGGGCTGGTACATGCTGCTTGTGGAACTGCCCATCTACATGAAGAGCATCCTGGCCTTTGACATCAAAGAAAATGCCACACTGTCAGCACTGCCATATTTGTGTATGTGGCTCTTTGGCATGATCCTGGGCTCCCTAGGAACCATGCTCAAGCAGAAGAACATGGTCTCCACCACTGTGTTCCGCAAGGCTGCCACTGCCCTGGCATCCATTGTGCCAGCCATTTGCCTGGTGGCTGTCACATACATGGAATGTAACCGCACAGCTGCTGTTGGACTCATCACCATTGGTATCATGTGCATTGCTGGCATGTACTCTGGCTACCTCACCAACCACATTGACATTGCACCCAACTTTGCTGGCACTCTCATGGCTCTCACCAACACTGTGGCCACAGTGCCAGGATTCATTGTGCCAGTCTTTGTTGGTGCCATGACAGAGGGAAATGTGAGTTGTGTTGGACACTATTCAAATACAGTGTTACCCCATAAGATGCAGGTGCAATTGGTGCTTGAAGCTTGTCCATGTGTCAGAATGTCTACATGTCAGCTGCCCCATTTTCCTACAGACTTCAATGGGAATCTTTTTGATTGGTTCTTCTTCTGCATAGATCAATATTTGAGAAAAAGTCTCCCCTGAGGCCCTGATATATAAAAATTTAGAAAAATATAATTGGAAAAATCACTCAAAATTTTTTTGGAAAAGGCTCCATACATGCTGAGACATTGTCCAGGTGTTGGGTCTGGTTTGTCAAAGTGTCAAGCGTCCCCAAATTGTGGGCATTTTGGGGCCTTTCTGCATTCATCAATAATTGTCACTTCACTATAAGTGCCCAACATCCATCCATGGCTGATGGAAATTCTGCTGAAACATCATTTTTAGCTCTCTGCTGGAAAGCTTGTTTATTTCAGATCTTCTCTGGTTAGCCTATTTTATATCACAAAGTATGAGGATGGCTATAAAGTGAGAGTTTTTTACATACTGTAACCCAGAAACTGATTTCCTTATTTATTCTTTTCCCCTCTCTTATTTGGGTTGAAATCTCTTCTACAAGGTTTTCG